GTTGAAGAAGTTAAAGGACAAGTTGCAAGAGCTGTTTGATAAGGGCTTCATTCGGCCTAGTGTGTCACCTTGAGGTGCTCCGGTCTTGTTTGTGAACGATGGTCCTATGAGCATGTGTATTGATTATCGGTAGTTGAACAAGTTTATAGTGAAGAACAAGTATCTATTTCCATGCATCGATGACCTATTTGATCAACCACAAGGTGCTAGAGTGTTCTTAAAGATTGATTTGCGGTCAGGCTATCATTAACTAAAGATTCGGGATCCAGATATTTCGAAGACTACCTTCAGGACTCGATATGGTCATTACGAGTTCCTTGTGATGTCATTTGGGCTGACCAATGCCCTAACAACATTCATGCACTTGATGAACAGTGTATTCCATCCCTATCTTAACTCATTCGTCATTGTGTTTATTAACAACATCTTGGTGTACTCCCGGAGCTGGGAGGATCATGAGCAACACCTAAGGATTGTGCTTCAGACTTTGAGAGAAAAGAAGGTGTATGCAAAATTTTCAAAGTGTGAATTTTGGCTTGATTCAATGGCGATTTTGGGTCATGCACTGTCGAGTGAGGGGATCAAGGTAGATTTGAAAAAGATTGAAGTAGTGCAGAGTTAGCCCAGGTCGCCTTCAACTACTGAGATCTAGAGTTTTCTTGGTTTGGTAGGGTATTACCATCGATTTGTAGAGGGTTTCTCAGCTATTACTGCACCTATGACCAGATTAACCTAGAAGGGTGCTCCGTTTAGATGGACCGTGGAGTGTAAGGAGAGCTTTCAAAAGCTCAAGACTTCTTTAACTTCATCCCCAGTATTGGTATTGCCTATGGGTTCGGTGTCTTACACTGTGTATTGTGATACGTCGCATGTTGGCCTTGGTGTGGTGTTGGTGCAATATGGCAGGTTGATTGCCTACACGTCTAGATAGCTAAAGGTGCATGAGAAGAATTATCATGTCCATGACCTTGAGTTAGGAGCTATTGTTCATGCCTTGAAGATTTGGCGGTACTCTTTGTACGGTGTCCCTCATGAGGTATATACCGACCACTAGAGTCTTCAGCATCTATTCAAACAAAAGGATCTTAACTTGTGGAAGCAGAGATGGTTAGAGTTGCATAAGGACTATGATATCACTATTCTATATCATCCCGGGAAGGCCAGTGTGGTGGCTCATGCCTTGAGTAGAAAGGCGGAGAGTTTTGGCAGTTTAGGCTATCTACCCGAAGCGAATAGGCCATTAGCATTGGATGTTCAGGCCTCGACCAACTAGTTTGTTTGATTGGATATTTTAGAGTCGAGTCGAGTTTTGGCTTATGTGGTTTCTCGGTCATATCTATATGATCGTATCAGAGAACATCAGTATGACGACCCCTATTTCCTTATCCTCAAGGACACGGTTGAGCACGACGATGCCAAGGAGGTTACTATTGGGGATGGTGTTATGAATTCAGGGCTGGCTATGTGGTCCCAAAGTAGATGGTTTATGTGAGTTGATTCTTCAGGAGACCTACAGTTCGTGGTACTATATTCATCCGGGTATCGCCAAGATATATCAGGACTTGAGGCAGCACTATTGGTGGAGGAGAATGAAGAAAGACATGGTGGAGTATGTAGCTTGGTGCCTAAATTGTCAGCAAGTGAAGTATGAGCATCAGCGGCTAGGTGGGTTGCTTCAGAGGATTAAGATTCCCGAGTGGAAATGGGAGCGAGTTACCATAGATTTTGTTGTTAGGATCCCACGGACTCAAAAGAAGTTCGATGTAGTATGGGTGATTGTGGATAGGTTGACCAAGTCGGCTCATTTCATTCTAGTGGAGACTACTTATTTTTCAGAGCAGCTGGCTCAGGTCTATATTCGCGAGATTGCCCGACTTCATGGCGTGCCGGTATCGATCATCTCTGACCGGGGTACATAGTTTACGTTGCAATTCTAGAAGGTCGTACAACATGAGTTGGTCACATGGGTTGAGTTAAGTACAACAATACACCCTCAGACGGAAGGATAGTCCGAGCACACTATTTAGACTTTGAAGGATACGCATCGTGTATGTGTTATGGAGTTCGAGAGTTCTTAGGATCAGTTCTTGTCACTTGCGAAGTTTGACTACAACAATAGCTACCAATCGAGCATTCAAATGGCTCCGTATGAGGCCTTATATGAGAGGCGGTTTCGGTCTCAGATAGGTTGGTTTGAGCCGGGTGAGGCGAGGCTATTCGATACTGACTTGGTTCAGGATGCTTTGGAAAAGGTTAAATTGATTCAAGATCGGCTTCGTACAGCCCAATCTAGATAGAAGAGTTTGATCGGAAGGTTCGCAATGTTGTATTCATGATTGGGGAGCGTATCATGCTCCGGGTTTCGCCCATGAAGGGTGTTATGAGGTTTGGGAAGAAAGGCAAGTTGAGCCCTAGATATATCAGACATTTTCAGATTCTCGAGATGATTGGTGAGATGGCCTACAAGCTTACATCTCCACCTAAGTTGCAGTTCATCCAGTATTCCATATTTCTATGCTCCGGAAGTATCACATTTGATCTAGCTCATGTGTTGGATTTCAGCTCAGTCCAGTTGGACAAGGACTTGTCTTATGTTGAGGAGTCGATGGCCATTTTGGATAGGTAGATCAGAAAGTTGAGGTCGAAGAGCATTGCTTCAGTGAAGGTTCAATGGAGAGGTCAACCAGTCGAGGAGGCGACTTGGGAGATCAAGGCGTAGCCGTTATCCTCGTCTTTTCACCACTTTAGGTATGTTTGTATACTCGTTCTAGGACGAATGTTTGTTTTAAGAGGGGGAGGATGTAACAATCTGGTGGGTCATTTTGAGTATTTTAGCCATGATCCCCTATTTATTGCCTCCTCTATGTTGTGTTACGGCTATTTGATTTAGCGGGGGTGTTTGGTTTTGGTTTTGAGTGAATTTCAGAGTTAAATGGGACACATAGTCCCTAAGTTGGAGGCTTAAGTTGAACGAGTTGACCATATTTTGACTTTTGTGTAGACAACTCCGGAATAGAGTTTTGTTGGTCCCAATAGCTCCGTATGGTAATTTTGGACTTAGGAGCGTGTCCGGATGTTGATTTGGAGGTCCGTAGGTTGTTTAGGCTTGAATTGGTGAAAGTTAGAAAATTGAAGGATTGGAAGGTTGAGAAGTTTTATTGAGAGTTGACTTTATTGATATTAGGGTCGGATTCTGATTCCGAAAGTTGGAATAGGTCCGTCAAGACTCTTGTGCATATTGTAGTTGAGCCATGGGCTATTTATTGTGGAAACACCCTTATTATTGACTTCTTTGGAAAGTTGTAATATTGGGCACTTGAGGTGCTATTTGTGATACATTGTGATATTGATACGCATGTGGGGGTATCGAAATTGGGGTTGAAACGCATGCGGTGAGATAAGGTGAGCTTGATACGCATGTTGCTAGTAGGAAAACTACTTGAAGCCCCGCGGTGTGATAAGGTAGGCTAAAACACATGAAGCTATTTCGGAAAAAATAATTTTCAAAACTAAATGCAAGTCTCCCGCTGTGATATAAAGAAATATTGTGAATTTTTTGTGATATGAGATTACGAGGTGGTACCTTGGTAGTGATTCTCGTTGATACTTTCTGTTACTTCACTTGTGTTTGGTTGCTTTGTTTCCTTGGCATGTCATTCCTTGTTTTTTTCCTTGATGCATTATCTGCCTTAGTTTAGTGTAGCTAATCTTGGTATATTTTCTTATTGTTTCATTTTCATTGTTATTATTATTACACTGTTGTATACCTGTTCATTTTTTTATTTATTCTAGTAGGGCCTTGACTTGATCTCGTCACTACTCTACTGAGGTTAGGCTTGGCACTTACTAGGTACCGTTATGGTGTACTCATACTATGCTTCTGTATATCTTTTTGTGCAGATTTAGGTACCTCCTACCAGTTTAGGCACTGGTGAGACGAGCTCAGCTTCAGAGACTTCAAAGTATACCTGTCGGCGTCCGCAGGCCTCGAAGTCACCTTCTATCTAGTCTACTTCATTTTTCTTTCCCTTTCATGTATAGGGATGATCAGTACTTACTCGTAGAGCTTGTAATTTGTTATCACCAGATTTTGGGAAGTTTGTTTATGCTGAGTTACGAAGTTTCCTTTATAATAGTTGTTGAGTATTCGAGAGTTTTATCGTTATTTTAGTTATATTATGCATGTATGTTAGTCTTACCTAGTCTTAGAGACTAGGAGCCATCACGACATCCTACGAAGGGAAATTGGGATCGATCTTTCCAGTAAATATTGCGTGTTTCAATTATAAAGCTTAAACTCATTATTTAAGAGCTTAAAACCTATTTAACTGCATTACAAATCTGACTAAACAAAGTCATGTGATTAGTTATGACCTTAAGATCCACTGACAGTCATTAAAAAGTTTCAAAACTTTGAATTTGAAAATCGAATTTCGTAAAGTTATTTTTTATTTGAATTGGGTGTTGTTACAAATAATTGAGAATATCTTTCGAAGTCCTATCTCAATTTTTGAGGAGTTTGGTAAAAATTCAAGGTAGTTTGTTAGAATTTTAATTGAAAGTCAAAGAGAAAGTCATAAATAGATTATATGCAAATTGTACGACGAGTGTGCAAACGTCATACAAAATACAAATAACTAATATATTTGTATGCAAGTTATAAATAAGTTGTATTTGTGTTGACCGGATTTTGTACAACAAAAAATTATATACAAGTTGTATATTGTAGCTTTTGCCCGGATTCTATACCACAAAAAGTTATAAATAAATTATAGTTTTTGATGAATTTTGTATATATTTTCTATAAAAAAAAAAAAACTCCAGCTACTTTTTGTAAATAAAAAACTTAACTAAACCAGGTAAAGATTATCCTAATTTCGTATCTATAGGAGAAAAGTCAATATTTCCAGCACAATTATGCATTTTGAAAAGAACACTTCAAATACTCGGCTAGTATGGATATAATCAATTTTAAACACAAGGTCAGAATAAAAAGGTGATAAGCTAAATAACAAAAACTATTTTAACTGTCAAAAAAATCACAAGAATATGAGTCATTCTTCTTTATCCATGGCTTCCACAAAACCATTACACACACTTTCTTCTCCACTCAAACAAACAATTCCTTCTTTTGTTCCTTTGATTTCCTATAAACCCAATTCAGATTTTTCAATTTCTTTCACTTCTTCTTCACAGGTAAATCAACAATCCCAGCTGAGACAAGTTGCTGCTTCTGTAGCATTCAATCCTTCTGGGAATTTTGACCTCTCCCTTTATGATGAGCAAGAAAGTAAGCACGATAATTACTTCATTCATATATCCCAATTTTATTCATTTAATATTATTTTAGCATTATTGAAATAATAGATGTCCTTTATAGTCTATCTCTTAGGTTAGTTTGGTTTGAAAACAAGTTATACCGTAATTAGTTATGCTGAGATTAGTTATACTGAAATAAGTTATTCTGATATTATTTCTTATTGATTGTTTGGTACGCTATATTTATCCTGGAAAATTAGTTATGCTGAGGTTAATTATACCAAAATTAGTCATGCTAAAATTAGTATTATTTTTGAGTATTATTTTTCGGTATGTTGTATTAATCCTGAAAAATTAGTTATCCGATATTGTTTCTTATTGATTATTTGGTATATTGTATTAATCCTTTGATTGTCAACTACTTTATTCTAGAATAACTTATCTGCATTACTATTTCACCTTCTGACAGGTATAAGTTAATCCGGACGAAACTCTTATCCATGATTGCTTTTACTTTATTTATCATACCAAACAACCCCTTAGTATTTCGTCATGTTTTCATGTTCCAATCGAGCATTGTCTATTATGATTATTATTCTAAAAGGATAAGATAACTCATAATAAGCGAATTTCTAGGTTCAATTCCTACTGAATGCTCGATAATACAACAACCTTATTATCCTGCTTTATTTTTTCCCCTGTTGGAAAATCTTACTTGAGAAATAATTTGGCTTTTTTCATTAACTTACAAATGTAATTTTGATTAACAGATACAGAAGTAGCACCTCCACCAATGCCCCCAACAGAAGGTAGATACGAAGTTGTTATAGATAATGACATTATTCAACGTCTTGATTTATCCCCATTTCAAAATGCAACTGGATTATCATCACCCTTATCTGGTATGTATCACACTAATTAATCATATGGTTAATTTGGCTATATTATCTTTATTTCTTTATTTAAGCGGGTAATTAATGATTATGTGTTTTCTTGGGATTGTGAGGGTAAAATTAAAAAAATTAATGCCTTCTCGACTTTTCAATGCATTTCATCCGTGTAAGTTTATCTGTCCACTATTGACTTGACACGCCCCTTAAGAAATGACAAATAATGTGGTAATTTTACTATATTACTCCTAATTATTATTATTATTGAAAAACTAACTTTGACTATTATAAATATTGGAAAATATTAAGGGTAAAATAGGTATAAAATGGTCAATTATCTATTGGTTTTCCAGACAGGACAAGGGTAAAATTAAAAAAATTAATGTGTTCTCGACTTTTTAAAGTAGCAATTTTTTTTTAATATTTAAAGTGACAAATAGAAAGAATAGGAGAAAATATATGTTAGAACAAAAGAGTAATTAAAAACTTAATAATTTTTTTAAATAGATTCCTTCTTTTTCATCTTTTCCAATAGAATCATAAAATATATAAAGCAGTCCAGTGCACAAAGCATCACGCGTGTGATGCAGGAAACCTACCCTAATACAAACATTAATGACTGTTTTTACAGCTCGAACCCATAACCTATAAGTCGTAATCTTGTTCCAATTTTGGATTACGACAGTGTTATGATGCTAATAATGTTGCAAAATTGTAATAGCCAAGCCAAAGGAGTTTCTGGAAAGGACAATTGGTTTTACAATCAATTACAAAAGAGAAGATAAATATGATCCAAGGGAATTATCAGAATTTCCAGATATACGACTATGGTTCATTCGGCTAGATGCTACTTATCCATGGCTGCCAGTTTTATTGGATTGGAGAGCTGGAGAACTTGCACGTTATGCAGCAATGTTGGTACCCCATCAGGTATAAACTTCTTGAATTATATTAAATGCAGCCCTTTTCTTTTCGGATTTAACTTATATACATTGATTGTAAAAGACTTTTATATAATTACAATTAGTGTATTTGAACCTTGATAGTGTAATTCTTTTATACAATTAATTTATTTTAGCATATTTTAGCAGATATTTAATTCTTGATTAAATTAAACAATAGGCAGTTCAATATACTAAGCTTGTACTATGGGCGGGTTCTCAAAAATATCAAATCATTAGGACTATTGTATGCTTCTTCTTGTATTTAGGGATCTCTACGCAAATAATTGGCTGAATTCACTGTTTCATTTTCTTAGCCGGTATACATAAATTATATACTGATTATACATGATTATACATAAATTATACATGAATTATGCACATATTTCACTTCACCAGTTATATTTAGTTTAAACAGTTGAGTGAACGACTATTTAGGTTAATTCTTTTTGTATTTTTGGAAGAGGTGGTTTCAAACAGTGACCTCTTGGTCACATAGCACTAAGCTTTCGTTCAATTAAACTAAAGGCGGCGTTTTCTTTTAATTCATGCTTTTTTATTGACAGTTCTTTTTTTTTTTTTTAATATTCAAACTTTTTGTTGGCAGATGAGTATGAAAATGGGGGTAGTATTCAATCCAGAGGCATTGGAGTTGTTTGTGATGAATAAGGTGTTTGTGGTATATTCTTGGTTGAAGCAAAATGAGATTCCAATGCCAAGGCTGAAGACAAAAGATATGGCAAGAATGCTTGGTTTTGGAATTGGGGATGAACTTTTTGACTTGATTGATAAACACCATATTGATACTTCATGAAGTTGAAGAAAGAGGAAAATTAGGCTTCTGCAAAAAAATAATTTTTTTGAATATGTGGAATATCAAAAGCTTATTTTTCTAGTCGTATCTAGTAGTTGTGGAGGTTTGAGCTTCATATTAAATTTGGTATGGTTCAAATTAATCATATGATGTACATGTTTTACTTAGTTAAAATTGTGTCAAGTTGATATATATTTGAAAAAAAAATTACATTGTATAGCCGCCCTCAAAATAATAGTCGAAAATGTATATATTTTTTGTATATATATATACATTTATCTATGATATATACAAAAAAAAAATTATACACTTTTACGGCTAGAAGATATAAACGGCAGTGGGCTAAAAATGATTTTGCCTTTGATATTTCTTTTATCCCTTCAAAGGCGAAAACAAAACAAAATCAAGTCTTCTTCTGGTGGAAAAATTAAGAGTATTAATTTTCTTTTTGACTTTTTAGTTAACATGTTGAGGAAAAAAAGGAGATATTGTTTAGATAAGAAGTTAAAAGCAAGACTATCTTGCTCTTTAATTGAAGTTTCTTTGAAGCAATTCTATCCAATTTTCACCACTTTTCACAATTTAACCTTTTTAACCCTTCTTAATTCCTTTTTTGAGAAAATGACACTGTATAACCTCTGTAAAAATAATAGTCGAAAAAATATATATTTTTATATATATATATATATATATTTTATGTTATATACAAAAATTATACATTTTTTCGGCTACCAGATGCAAACACTTTCTGGTGCGGGTTAAAAGTGATAATACCCCTCCTTTTTTTCTCCTTGGGCCTTGAGAAATCAGTTTACTTCAGTTACCTGTAAGTTACAAAGACCCAATTTTACTTTAGAGCCCAACCCAACAGCCCAAACTTTTCTTCTCTGTCTTTTATCTTATTCTTTTTTTTTATTTATTTTGTGATATTCAAATATATTCACTTGAATTATAATCTAACCCGTCTTCTTGACCCTATTCCTCAACTATAAAATTCACCTAAAATTGAGCTGAGATAAATTTATAAAATAGGTCTACCTAAAGCATTAAATAACCATTTGGACATTTGGGTGGCCACTGAGATGGGCTTTTGCGTGGCCCAAGGGAAGTTATCTAGTCGCCCAAACCAATGGTTACGACTATATTTCTACATCGGCACGTGTAATTTTAAGTATTGAATTTACTTATCAATACCTTTTCGATTCTTTAAAGATCTTTCAAAAATTGGTAATATAAGTCACGAGCATCTAAAGAAGTAACATAATAATAGAACAGTCTGAATAATATGTTAGTGTCTAATACGAGATAAACAATAAATAGAGATAAAATAGCAGAAGGTGACTCCAAGGCACTGTCTCTATTAGCCATGGTCTGAATTTCCACAACCATTAACTATTATATGCTGCTAGCAGTGGTGGCAAAATGGATAATAGAAAATAATTATCCATTCATATAATCTATTAAAAAATAGGATAGATAATGAACCTTTTTTAAACGGGTCAAATATAGATAAGAACCATATTATTCACTTAGAAAATGGATAAGTAATGTGTTTAACTTTTATATTTGATAAGACTCAAATTGGAAATTCCTCAAGTTTGAGAGTTAGGAATTCTCCCAAATTGATCATATTCAAGAAGTCATAGATAATATGGTTATCCATATTATTCGACGGTTAACCCATTTTCTATTCTTATTAAATATGGGCCAATTCGGATAATTTATTTGTTTTTGCATTACTCATTTTGACCCGCTCATATCCAACACGACCCACCCGTTTGCCGCCTGTTTGCTACCCCTAGCTGCTAGTAAGACTACAGAGGTACTGCTACGGTTGTGATACAACTACTGTTATGATACTACTGCTAATTTCGACTACTAATATATTTGCGTATTATTAAAAAAAATTATTTATTCTATTTTATGTGACATTATTTTCTTATTAGTTCATTCCCAAAAGAATGACATCTTTCTCTATATGAAAACGATATAATTTATAATTTTTTATTTTACTTTTATTGGCATTTTTATATCCATAAAAATATCATGTGAAGTTTAAGATTACAAGTTTCAAAATATTCTTCCTTTCTTTTGTAAACTCGGGCAAAGTGAAATTCTAGCTACCACATTACTTGGAAGGGAGGGAGAGGATTACGAATTATTAGGGCGGTCAATCTTAGCCCCAGCCCAAATGACCCGTCCAACCCGCTCAAGGTTGGGTTGGTCATTGACCCACCCGTTTATTATTCTCATTCCATTTTGATCCAACCCATTTAATGTTGAAAAGATTTTTAGCCCAAATTGATCCATGAGTAACTTTATCAAAATATCTTAGAAATAATATTTTTTTAGTTTGATATGTTATATATGATCATAACAAAAGAAAAAAAAAATTATTTAGTAATTACACAATTCATAAGAAAATAACACATATTAAGTAAAGCTTGATAAGAGTTGGGCAGGTTGGGCTATGACCCGAATTTTAGTCCATCTTGACCCAACCCATCTTAGCCCAAGTAACTTTTGGGCTGGTCAAATGACCCACCCAATTATTAACTCTACCCGTTTTGACCCGTCCAAAATTGATCCAACACGCCCATTTGACACACTTACGAATTATTATAGAGTTGCAAAATCCCAACTCCAATTTAACTCCATAGGGTTAAAGCTCAAGTGTTTGAATTTTTAACGATGTCGATCATGTTATAAAATAAAGACTATAAAGTAAAGACAAGTATAGAGAGGATCTGATATATTATTCGAATTCAAACTGATGTACATAATGAACTGAAATCTCTTCTATTTATTGAAGAAAGGAAACTGCTGTGTAAGCTGCTACTATACCAGATATGGATAATCTTCTACTGAGAGCAATGTTTATCCATAACGGAGTACTGAAAGGATAAGATTATTATACCCGATATGGATAATCTTCTACCGGAGGTAATGTTTATCCATAACTGGGTACTGAAAGGATAA